GATCTCTGATGGGGTTGATGACTAGTTGTAGTTACAGTTTTCCTTGACACCAAATTCAGAAAAGAAATTCACAAAAGAGGTGTAAAGAATGTAAGATTGAGAGACATAAAAGCGTAAGTGGTTTATCTAAGAAAATGTTTGGAGTTCTAAAAGATAGTTTTGGGTTGGTAATACAAGTTAGGATAGAAAGTGAATTCGGCACAAAACTTTGAATTCATCAAGATAGGATAGATAATGGAGTATTTTCTCTGAATTTGCCAAATGCAAATGGACTGGACATTGTGAATGTAATTCTTACCTGATAATTGTTCTTATTTGTACATAGTTTTACTTTGTTAAATTTAAAACTTTCCTTTTATTTAGACAAAACCTGATAACTGTTTTTATTGTATATAGTTTTACTGTATTAAGAGTTAAAAACCTTTCTTTTTATTTAGACAAAAAGAGGGAAATGTTGTGGGATATCTGTTCATACTGACACTCCAGAACTTCCAATAAAGTTAAACCTTGAATTAGCAGGCAGAGTCAGCGATTGGCTGACCAGAATTAGCCATAGATATGTTGGAGGACTGGGGGTGTGAGATAGAGAGGTACAGGAAGAGATAAAGAAGGGCTTGGAGAGGTTTTGAGGGCTTTTCAGTCTGGGAAACGTGGACAGTAGGGTCATCGGATTGTTTCTCCACTGTTCTGTGAATTTATCAGGTTTTTAATCTCAATTTCTAACTCCTGAGTTTTTAATAATACTAGAATAATCAAAGTAAATGTGACATATGACACTTTCTCCAAAACTGACCACATACTCAGACACAAAGCAAGTATCAACAGACACAAGAAAATCCAAATAACACCCTGCAGCCTATCTAAGCACTGCCGGTTAAGGCTGGGCATCAGAAACAACAGACAGTACACAGACTCCTGGAAACTAAACAGCTCACTACTGAATGAAAAATTCATCAAGACAGAAATTAAGAGAGATATTAAACTTTCTAGAAATGAATTAAAATGGAATCATGCTCAAACTTAAGGGACACAAAGAAATCAGTTCTAAGAGGCAAGTTCATAGCACTAAGTGTCTACATAAAAAAAAAAAATGGAAGGATCTCATAATAGCAACTTAACACCACACCTGAAAGCTCTAGAACAAAAAGAAGAAAAGAGTAGTTGGCATGAATAATCAAACTGGGGGTTGAAATCAATAAAAGAGAAACAAAGAGAACAATACAAAGAATCAATGAAACAAAGAGCTGGGTCTTTGAGAAAAATTAATAAGATGGACAAACCCTATCCAAACTAACTAAAACGAAGAGAGAATATCCAAATTAACAAAATTAGAAACGAAAAGTGGAATATAACAACAGACAGAGAGGAAATCCAGAGAATCATAAGGAAGAAGTCAAAGTATCTTTATATGTAAATGATATAGTATACATAAGTGACCTAAAAAACTCCTGCAGCTAATAAACAGTTTCAACAAAGTACCTGGATACAAAATTAACTCAAAGAAATCAGTAGCCCTCCTATATACAAATAAACAACAGACGGAAAAAGAAATCAGGGAAATAACATCTTGCACAATAATCTCAAATAATATAAAATATTATATTATTGGGATAACTCTAACTGAACAAATGAAAGAATTGTATGATAAAAACGTTAAGGCATTGAAGAAAGAAACTGAAGAAGATATCAGAAGATAAAAAGATCTCCCATGTTCATGGATCAGTAGTAAACATAGTAGTTAACACAGCAAAAATGGCCATCCTACCAAAAGGAATCTACAGACTGATTCAATGCAAACCCCAAATGCAATGCAGTCCCCATCAAAATGCCAAAAACCCAAGATAGTTCAAACAATCCTGAACAATAAAAGGAATGTTGAATTGTAACCACTCCCAATTTCAAGTTGTACTGCAGAGCTAACTAATACAGCATTGGCGCAAAACCAGACATGTCTATCCAAAGAACTGAACTGAAGATCCAGACATCAATCACACACCTATGGACATTTGATAAAGAAGCCAGAAATGCACACTAGAAAAAAAGACAGCATCAGCATCTTCAACAAATGGTGCTGGTCAAACTGGATGTCTGCACCTAGAAGATGCAAATAAACCCACACTTATCATCCTGCACAAAACTCAACTCCAGATGGTTCAAAGACCTCACCATAAAATCAGATACACCGAACCTGACAGAAGAGAAATTGGGAAATAGACTTGAACACATTGGCACAGGAAAAGAACTTTCTGAACAGAACACTGTTAACACATGCACTAGGATCAACAATAAATGGGACCTCATAAAACTGAGTCGCTTCTACAAGGCAAAGGACACTGTCATTCAGAAAAAAATGGCAGCCTACAGAATGGAAAAAGATTTTTCCCAACTCTACATCCTTAGATGACTAATATCCAAAATATACAAAGAACTCAAGAAACCAGATATCAAGAAAACAATCCAATTAAAAAATGAGGTACAGATCTAAACAGAATTCTCAATATACCAAACTCAAATGGTATAATGAAATACTTAATGAAATGTTCAACATCCTTAGTCATAGAGAAATTAAGATCAAAACTAATACGACAGTTCATCTTCTACTTGTCAGAATGGCTAAGATCAAAAACACAAGTGACAGCTCATGCTGTCGAGGATGTGGAATAAGGGGAACATTTGTCCATTGCTGGTGGGAGTGCAAACTTGTACAGCCACTATGGAAATCAGTGTGGGGGTTCCTTGGGAAGATGCGACTTGATCTACCCCAAGATCCAGCTATACCACTCTTGGTATTTAACCAAAAGATGCTTCCTCCTACCACAGAAACACTTGCTCAACCATGTTCATTGTTGTTCTATTCATAATAGCTAGAAACTGGAAACAACCTAGATGTCCCTCAACAGAAGAATGGATAAAGAAAATGTAGTACATTTACACAATGGAGTACTACTTAGCCATTAAAAAGAATGAACTTTGCAGGTAAATGGATGGAACTAGAAAAAAATAATCTTGAGTGACCCACAGGAGATAGAGGATAGACACACACACACACACACATACACACACACACACACACAAACTCTAAATCAACACAAGGAAAGCCCATAAGAACTCAAGAAACTGAAACATCATGCACTGGGCCTGTAGGTATTCGCAATGGGTCCTCTGTGTATATATTAAGTCAAGGCTTCCAGGTTAGTGGGTCTCTGATTCTTGTCCCATCTCTTGGGCTCTTTCCCCTGTTTGTTTTGTCCAATTCCGATGAGCTAGTTTTTTCTTTTTTTCTTATTATCATCCCTTAGAAGCTTGTTTGTTTGTTTGTTTGTTTGTTTTTAATGACAGAAAGAGTAGATCTGGATAGAAGGGGAAGTGGTGAGGAACCGGGAGGAGTCGAGGGAGGGGGAACATTATGGGAAGGAAAAAAGTCTGTTTTCAATAAAGGAGGTTGGAGACTAGTGGAAATACTTTATCCAAATGGCAGAGATGCAGCAGCTGAGACGAGTGAATTGCAGCATCACAGGGGTGGGGCTAAAGCCAGCCATTTAACAAGGTGACCCCACAGCCCAGACCCTCAAACCCGTGTTTGAATACGCTATTTTAACTGCATTTGGAGCTGGACCCTTATTTGAATACGCTATTTTAACTGCATTTGTAGCTGGGCAGAAGACCAAATTAAGTCACTAGTTTTACTGACATGACTCTCAAGCCTAAAATTAAAATCTCCAATGAACTATTTTTAATTTAAAACAGCTCTTGCCCTAAAAACGAATCAACAGTGAGGAGATATGAAAGACAATTTAAACAGCCTCAGGTAGAACAATTACTTTCATATAAAAACCCATCAGTATTAATATTACTTCCACCTGTAAGATCAGAACACGAACTCTGGTAGAGGTCTCGATTATAGAGAGGTTTATAAATGGGACTGTGGGGATTTTTTTTAGGGGGTTTAGCGTAGGCAAAAGGATGTTTCGGTATGACCACACAATCCTATCAGTCATTTAAAATATAGGTGGTCAAATCAAGTTTCAGACATGAAATAGATGATATTAATTTGAAAAGCTGGTTGTTAGAGAAAAAAAAGCAAATCTCCATGTGGGCATTTTAAAAAGCTTTCAGAGACAGACATTAATGGTTCTATACTTAGCTGTGAGGGTGTAAACACGCCCTAAACACAAACCGGTGGGGACAAGGCAGTAAGAGTTTGGACTTTCGCTTGTGGTTTGCTTTTTTCCCCAAGAGCACAGGTAACTCTTTAAAGTGCTGGCAGTGAAGAAAACTAATAAAGTCCTTGGGTGTCCACGTTAAGTCCTGTTGGACTCGAGTTCATCGCACTTAGTAACAAACAGCAGCCATAACTCCTGATGCAGCCACAACTTCCCAGCTCCGGGAAGCTGAGAGAAGGCGTGGCTGCAGGATTTTCTCAGTACCACGTAGCAGGTTGTCTCCACTCACCCCTTCTCTGTAGCTGCACTCCCAAGGGCTCCCAGATCTGAGGCGCAGGGTCCAGGAGGAATTCAGGACCATTCCTGCCAAGCTTACTGCTGGAAACCGCCCGTTTCCTACCTCCACAATCTCCACCGCCAGCTTCCCTGTCCAAGTTTGAGTTGGGCAGAGCTGCCCAGCCCTACAGAGTCCACACCTGCCGGGGACTAGGCGGCTCTGGGTTGGGAGAGCCAGGATGCTCCTAACCGTCAGCAGGTGCCAACTTATTTGGGGTCAGTGCTCTGACAAACATCAACCCTTGTTCCCAAAGTGGACAGGTGGGCACGGAAACGGTAGACAAGGTGTGCACACGCGCCCCCCCCCCCGCGCGCGCGCACGCACACACACACATAGGAGAGAGAGGAGGAAGAGGGGGAGAGGAGAAAGGGGGGGGGGGGAGAGAGAGAGAGAATATGAGAGAGAGATGCCATTCGCCTCCTAGGGCCTGCGAGTACGCCAGAGGACACCGGAACTCTGGAAGGTCGCTTGGCAGATCGGCGGGTGGTCGTCTGACTTACCTTACAGGGAAACAGAACTGCCGAGGCCACCTTCTCCATAGCCAGGTTCCTGATGCTGGGCGTCAGGGCGCCCCTGCACGTCGGGCAGCAGCTCAACTTCTGGCGGCATTGGTTACACACCAGGTGCCCGGCCTGGCACTGCAGAATGGGGGGCAGGACATAGTCAAAGCAGACCGGGCACTCGAAGAGCGAGGTCAACTCGTGGTGCTGCGGGGACACCGGGCCGGCCCCGCCGCCGGCGCCGGGGCCTGAGATCACCGCTGCCGCGGCGGGCACCGCGGACGAGCCGGGGCCCGCAGCCGAGATGGTGGCGGCGGCCGGGGGCGCAGCTGGGGACGGAGCGTGCGGGGTCTGGGGCGGCGGCGGCTGCTTGCTGCAAGGTTTGTTAGCGCTGGGGCCGGTGGAGGACGGGCGGCTCATCGCGCTCCGAGCCCACCATGGACCTGCGGGCGTCTGCCTGCCGCGGGGCCGCCCGGGTCAAGGCGGTGCGCGCCCCGCGGGTGGCGGGCTCCGGGGCAACGCCACGGCGCCCAGCCCCCGGGGACGGGGCGCGGACCCGACCGGCACCGGGAGGAGGGCGGGGGACAGGACCCGCGCTGATCCTCTCCGCGGTGGCGCCCGGAGTGGCCGACGCTCTCGGGGGTTGGCGGCCGTGCGGTGTTCCCTCCTCCCGTGGCGCTCTGGGTGCGCGGAGTCCTGGCCCACCCGCTCCAGGAGCGGCAGCTGACGCAAGCCCCGGGGGCGCGCGCGGACGTGACGCTAAGACACGTGTGCGGCCGACCCGGCGCGCTGGGACTGGCAGAGCCACCCTGTGAGGCCCGCGGAGCTCCGCCCGGCCCAGCTGGCAGCGCCGGAGCCGTTTCCTGCTTGGGAGACTTCACTCGGCCGGCCGCCGCCGCCGCCGCCGCTGCGCGCGGACGCTTTCTGGGCGGTGGCGGAAGCCGGCGGCCCTGGGGTGGGGGGGGGGAGGACGTTGCCGTAGTCCTTTGACCGGTCCCAGGGGAACCACGCCGACAACCGCCCGTCTCCAGCTACAGGGCAACTGATGGCCGGACGGGGGGCGTGGACGGCGCGCTAGGGCGCCGGGGGCGGGGCGGGGGCGGGGCGTGGGCGGGGCGTGGAACCCCCACGTCTCTCTTCGGGTTGAGTCATCGGTGCGCGGGAGCAGCGTGCGACCCGGCAGCTCGGCCGGTAGCCTGCCTGCCACGCGGGGGCGGGACCCCGAGTCTGGCGGGAGCGGCGCGAAGGTCTCGGGCGGGGCCCGGCGGTTGGGTTACGAGAGTGAGTGGGCGCCTCAGTGGTCCTGCCCCGCCGGGTGGGAGGAAAGTCCACTGGCGAAAGCATCTTGGAATGGAGCGCCTGCGGCGTAGAGAACCCCGACCTCTTGGACATCTCTGACGGGATGGAGAATTAAAATCACCGAAGAATACTAGAAACGTGGTTTGGGTGTTTTAAGGCCCAGAGCGACAGTAGAAGACCTTTCTGTCCTCAAAGACCTGAGTCCTTAAAGCCTAGTCCTGATCCAAGCCTTAGGCTTTGAAGCTTACTGGGGCTTGAGGAGGAAGGGAATGGATGAGCTCAGCGCACCTGTTACCAATCCTCAGCTTGGCAGGACTGGTGCTGGATTCGTCCTCGGTACTCTCTGTGCACCCCGACATGTGGGAAGTCTCAGAGATGTAGCTTAATAAAGAGCGCCTGCGGGGGCTGAAGAGATACCTCAGCTTGCTGCTCTTAGGGGACCAGACTTTGATTTCCAGCACCTGCAACTGCCTGTAACCCCAGCTTGGGTGATCCTACGCCATCTGGCTCCAGTACACGTGCACAAAGACACACATGCCCATAAAATAAAAATAAACCTTAAGGGAGGGGGCGGGCACAGGGCATCTAAGCCAGACTTCCTCCTCTAGTGATAAGAGAATCTGCAAGAGTTCTGGTAGTCTCAATAAAGCTTGTTTCCAGACACACCCTGCAGGACCCACTGAAGATACAGAAGCCTGAGAGCCTGGAGTGAACCATATCTTAATATATAATGAACACAGCCTGCTCATAATTGCTTGGGCAAAAAAGCTTTATGCTTGAACCGATGACATTGGAATTGGTAAAGCTAGTAGGATATTCTTTGTAGAAGAAACAGTTAAGTCCCGACGTGGTGAAAATAGTGCCCTCCGTGACATGGAGCAAATTCTTTTAATTTTCTGATTTATTTTGTACGTGATTGTGTGCACATGTGAATGTCAGAGGACAGTTTTGTGGGAGTCAGTTTTCTCAAGTTGTCAGGCTTGATGGTGGGCACCTCTACCCTGCTGAGCCATCTTCCTGGCCCCAGTTTGAATTTAAACAATTTAAGTGAGGTTTAGGGGAGTTTCACGTGCACTATTCTTGTAGACCCTCATCTATCCTAAGCACCTTGTAAATGTCAGCTGCAGTTAAAATACAGTGACTAGAAACATGTCGCTCAAAAGAAAAACAAAAATTTTATAAAGAACCCAGAAAGACTTCATGGGTGACTGTGTTATCTGAAGCTGTAGAGAAACTTCTTAGGTATAAATGTCAGTCACCCAGAAAATATTCCTTAGCATTTGTGTGTGCCAACTACTGTTCAGGCTCTGAAAATGGTTCTTACTCAGTTTACATTCTAGGAAGGAAGCAAGGCCAATGAACCACTCAGGGGAAAGAACTTCCGAAGTTTAGAGACTACCCAGGCACAATGGTTACAAGACTATAATCTTCACTCCTTTGGAGGCTGAGGAGGATGCCAAGTTCCAGGCCTAATTGAGTTACAGAGTGACATCCAGACCTGCACGAACAACTTAGCAATACTGTCCTCAATTGAAAAGAAAGGGTAGGGATGTAGCTTAGTGGTATAGTGCTTGTCTGGCTTATACAAGGTCTTAAGTTCAATTCCTAGTAATGCAAAAAGAAAGATTAAAAAAAATCCAGAGGGGGTATGGGAGTAGAAAGACTGTGAGAAGGGAATGCACAGAGGGGCTGGATTACAGATGGACTGGGACTTGGGTGTGTGTAATGGGAGTGTTGTCATGTGAGGCTAGCATAGGAACAGCAACGGAATGAATAAAGCATTTGCCTAGGGATTCAGGAATAACTGTGGATTTTTTTAAAGCTCTGTAGTATATTGAACTTCTAGATTGGTGCCATGGTGTCTATAAAATAATATTTATTGAGAAGCCACTATGCGGGCAACGATGGGTTTTTAGGTTCTGTGGGCACCTTATAGGGTGGACTCTGTGGTTGCAGATGAGGAAACCGGGGCAAAAGGAATTTAGTTTGCTCAGGGTCACACAGCTGAGAAGGCTGGAACCTGCTCCAGAGCCCTTATCTGACGCCTACGTTGCTGAGATGAGGTGATTAGCTCACTCACTAGAGGCAGAAAGCAACTCCACGACCATAATGAATTGTGTGGGCCATCATTACTGATTCTTAGCTGGTCGGCAAAGAAAAAGCAGAGCATATTCTGTTTATTCGATTTTCACCTTTGTTGGGCAAAAGAGAATGTAAGAGCAGTGGTAGGAAATAAAAGCACCCACATTCTCACTTTTATTGGAGAATATATATATATATATATATATATATATATATATATATATATATTCCATTCAAGTTAGAACCCTAGCAGTTGGAATTTATGACAGACTGCATTCCCTTGCCTCTGACCTCTGGCCTCTGGCCTCTGGCCTCTGTTAGAGACTTCCCGTTCTTAGACTGTGTTAAAGTTTACTGCAGAGGTGGGATCTTTCTTTACCTTGGCTCTGTTAACAAGTGCTGTCAGCCCCCGATAATTCAAAATAAAGTGTGGTTTCAGGGGCTGCTGAAAAAAAAAAAACAGGGAAAGCAATTCTCTGCTAAGAGAATTTGGTTTCTAAAACAACTGACCTATCAGCTCTTACCCCAGCAGATGAATCACCTGGTAATCGTTTTCTTTTAATGGCACTCCTGATGAAGTTGACCAGGGTAATTAAAGACAAAAGCAAAAGCAAGGCGAGATGTCTCTTGGCAGTTGCTGACAGTAGAGAAGGAGACAGGCCTGGTGGCCCAGTCATATCAGTGACCGCCCATGCTGCTAGACTGGACTTTCCAGCCTCCTTCCTCCTCCCTAAGGGGCTTGGAGGAGAGACGAGGCCTTTCCAAGTTGGGAGCCTGAGTTCTTCTTAGGCTCAGAGCTTCAGTGAGTATTCAGATGTGTGCTGTGTGCGGAATTGTCTTGAGATGTATTTGCCCTGGGGAACGTTGGTGTTCCGGGGCCTAGGCTTAAGAGGTGACTTTCTGGCTTCAGGAAGAGGGGGTGAACCCTTTTGTAATCTCTTGAGTCATGACTCATTTTCCACATCTGGATGAGAGGTTAACCTCCTCCCCACCCACTGAATTTTAGACGGCCTGTCAAGCAGGACCCTTCTTATCCATCTCCTGCTCCGTACTTTTTTATTATGATTAAAAAAACTTGCCGGGCGGTGGTGGCGCACGCCTTTAATCCCAGCACTTGGGAGGCAGAGCCAGGCGGATCTCTGTGAGTTCGAGGCCAGCCTGGGCTACCAAGTGAGTTCCAGGAGAGGCACAAAGCTACACAGAAAAACCCTGTCTCGAAAAACCAAAAAAAAAAAAAAAACTTATGAGTATGGGTGTTTTGCCTGAATGTATGTCTTTGTGTGCCTGGTGCTAGAAGAGGAGGGTATAGATCCCCTGGAACTGGGGTTACAGAGGCTTGGGAGCTGCCATGTGGGTGCTGAACCAGGGTCCTCTGGAAGAGCCGTCAGTGCTCTTAACCACTGAGCCGTCTCTCCAGTCCTCATGCCTCCCTGTACTTGTAAAGCTGGGGGTGTCTTGGGGGATACTTTCTTCCCTTAAACTCTCAGAGCATGCCTGTCACTGGCCTGGTGACTATGGCCTCCAAGAAATTAGGATTTTCCTGGGAATCTCATGCTGTGAAAAGAAGGCTGAAGCCTGGTGCCAGCCAAAGTAGGACCGTGAGATGTCACAAGTTCTGAAAACCTGTCAGACCACCTTTCAGGAGAGACTGGAATGGAGACAGCCAAGGGTCGGTGACAGGCAGGATCACACCTGAATGGCAACTACTTAGTCAAGCATACCTCTGTCAGGACCCCAAGATGGACTTGGAGGTTGTGGGTCACTGGATCTCTGTTGTGGTGACATGGAGTAAATCTCCGTTTTCTGCTTTTCACTATTTGTTTTTTGGAATTGGCTTCTAGAGGATAAGTGGTCAAGAGTCTGACTTGTTAGGAATGCCAGAGCCCCAAGCACTGACACTAATAACTCTGCTAACACATCTTATTTGAAAAACAACAGCAAAAACCTAATACCTTCCTGGGTGAGCCCCTAACCTCCCCTTGACTGGGGAACACAATGAGAAATGCTGCCCTAGGCGGACAAGTGGGCCCTTATTTCTG